ATACAACATTGCCTTTCATTTCTGTTTTTGTGCCAGTACTAGGGCTTAAACTCAGGACCTTGATCTCTAACTTGGCTTTTTGGTGCTTGGTGTTTTGGCTCGTGGCTGGTATATCACTTGAGCCACACCTTCACTTCTGACTTTTTGCTGGTAAATTGGAGATGAGAGTATCTTGGACTAGAACTGGGGTATGGCTCAAATGGCAAACCATGTGCCTATCAGATGCAAGGCCCAAAGTCATGGGCCAGAAAAAGTCCCCAGTGCCAGAAAAAGAAAGAGGAAAGGAAAGGGGAAAGGAAGGGAAAGGCAAAGCAAAGCAACCATTTCCCTATGGCTCTAAACAACTCTTATGTGTCCGAAGCTTCAAGGATGACAGGTGCTGTAGGGCTGAGCTGTAGATAGTCTTTGGGAAGTTGCTGGAGACCAAGGAGCAGCATCCAGCCTCAGCCTCAGAGGTGGTCCTGGCTTCTTAGTGGGAGACAGACCAGGATCAGGGAGGAGTCCAGCAGACTAGAGGTGGATTTGAGACCACCTAAACTTTTTTTTTTTTGGTCAGTTGTGGGGTTTGAACTCTGGGCCTAGTCGCTGTCCCTCAGCTCTACAGCTCAAGGCTCTACCACTTGAGCCACAGTACCACTTCCAGTTTTCTGAATGGTTTATTGGAGATAAGAGTCTCACAACCTTTCCTGCCTGGTCTGACTTTGAACCTGCCTAGTCTGACTTTGAACCTCAATCCTCAGATCTCAGCCTTCTGAGTAGCTAGGATGACAGGCGTGAGCCACCCATTCCTAGCTGAGACCACCTAAAGTTCTAAAGAATTTTAGAGTGGAGCCTGCCGGTGGCTCACACCTGTCATCCTAGCTACTCAGGAGGCTGAGATCTGAGGATTGGGGTTCAAAGTCAGCCTGGGCAGGAAACTTCATGAGACTTTTATCTCCAATAAACCACTCAGAAAACTGGAAGTGGTGCAGTAGCTCAAGTGGTAGAGGGCTAGCCTTGAGCCGAAGATCTGAGGGACAGTGCCCAGGCCCAGAGTTCAAGCCCCATGACCAACAAAAAGAAAGAAAAGAAAAAAAAAGAATTTTAGAGCACAAAACCTTGGCCCTCACTGGGCACTAGTGGCTCCCGCATGTAATCCTACTCAGGAGGCTGAGATCTGAGGATTGCGGTTCAAAGCCAACCCAGGCAGGAAAGTCCATGAGACTCATCTCCAATTAACTACCAGAAAATGGGAAGTGGTGCTGTGGCTCTAGTGGTAGAGTGCTTGCTTTGAGCTGAAGAGCACATGAATAGCACCCAAGCCCAGAGTTCAAGCACCACGACCAACAAAAAATCACAACCAAAAACCCTTGGCCCTTAGAAATGTGTGTGTATGTGTGTGTGTGTGAGTGTGTGTGTGTGTGTGTGTGTGTGTGTACATTTTAAACCCCATATCCAGAAATAGCCCCATGTGCCCTCAGCAAAGTGCAAATTGGAAAAGGGACTCTATTTTTTGGAGACAGAGGTAGAGACAGAATGAATGAGAGTGAGAGAGAGAGAGAGAGAGAGAGAGAGAAGAGCAGTTATAACCTAAGGAAAGGAAAGGAATTATGCATTGAGGCCAGGAACACCCCACCATGTCTCCATGTGAATGTAATTTTGTTTGAACAAGTTAAACTAAATTTAATTTGGCTGATCTTCGATTTACAACACACACACACACACACACACACACACACACACACACACACACACACACACTCCTTTACTAGAGGATGGAAAGAAAGCCTCCATTGCTTGGTGGTATATTTTAAGCTTAGGAGGCTTCTCTGAGGTTCTGATATTTGGCTACCCCGAGCCTCACCCTGGGCACAGAGGAATGTGTGAAAACTGGGGCAGGTTCTGGTCAGCCAAGATGCTTGACAGCACACAGATGAGCAAAGCGGGGAGGCTGGCTGTGTCCTGGGAGAGCCCTGGAGCTGCGGACAGGGGAACCACGTGCTACTGAGTGACCTTACTGAGTCACTGGCTCTAAGTTTCAAGTGCAAAATGACTCCCACGGATGGGGTGATCGTGCAGCCATTTAATAACTCCTGTGCCAGGAACTGTAATAAGGTAAGGCACCAGCTTCCCCAGGAGTCTCCCAGGGTGTCCAAGGTTAACCCTTTACTTGCTAGATTATAAGGAAGACTAAGTCAGCTCTGTGGCCCACACTTGTAGTTCTAGCTACTCAGGAGGTTGAGATCTGAGGATTGACATTTATAGCCAGCCTGGTTAGACAAACCCCAGAGACTCATATCCCCAATTAACCACCAAAAAGCCAGAAGTGAAGGAGGTGTGGCCTAAGTGATAGAGTACCAATCCTGAATGAAAAGCCATGTTCACAAAACCCAGAGCTCAAGCCCCAGCACCCTCTCTCTGTGTATCTGTGTGTGTGTGTCTCTCTGTTTCTCTGTCTCCCTCTCTGTCTGTCTGTCACACACACACACACACACACACACACACACACCTATTACCATCAGGGAGTCCAGTTTTGAGTCTCTACAACTGATCAACTATGATCCAGTAAGAAATCAGTTAATCAGTTTACCTCTTCAGGTCGAATTCCATCTATGTTTCAAATGCCCCTAATCTTCAAGTCAAGAGACTGGAATTGGAATACGCAGTATATCCATGATCTTGTTCTTCCCTTCTTAACCGTCTTTCACCGAGTTTCTCTTATATGAATAGAGACTGATGAGAAACATGTTTCTCTCCATTCTTACACCCTGGAATGTAAAATGCAGAGACAGAGAGGGAAAGAACAAGAGATGTTGAATTCTTTCTAGACATGATACAATGAACTTAAATAATAGGAAGTTTCAATTGTTCTCTACAAGAGAGCTAGATTGAATACTTTGGTAAGGAGGATCTCTCCCCTGGCCCTCTCTTTCTCCACAAAGCAATGAGATTGTAGGTCCTCAAGGGTAAACCCTGTACCAGTCATTCTCTTTCATGAGCCTCCTCCATTCAGACCCTATTTTCTTGTGCACAATTCATTTTCTTAAACAGCTACAGCTGGCCATCAGGAGTGGGCGAAGCCAGGCATATATTTGGGTTCGAGATGCGTCCTGTGTGATTTTTTAAATACTTTGGGTTTGGCAAAAGCCAAGACACATTCTGTCAGCCTCTTCCCTTTCCCCCACTCTTTGTTTTGAAGCCCGTGTGTATTCAAGAGAAATGAGGTCCATCTGATCCTCATTCATTTTTGCTTAACTCAACAACAACAATAAAAAAGTTGTCTTGGAGGAACCAGAAAATGTCAAAGCAGCAAATCCAGTGAGAAAACTAATGAATATGTCTTTCTCAAAACCCAAGAAAAGTGTGTGTGTGTGTGTGTGTGTGTGTGTGTGTGTGTGTGTGTGTGTGTGTGTGTGTGTGTGTTCATACTAGAGCTTGAACTCAGAACCAGGCCATTGTCCCTTAGCTTTTTTGCTCAAGACTGGTTCTCTACCACTTGAGTGACAACTCCACTTCTGGCTTTTGGGTGATTAATTGGAGATAAGAGTCTTATGGGCTTTCCTGCTCAGGCTGGCTTGGAATCATTGTCCTCAGATCTGAGCCTCTAGAGTAGCTAGGATTCTAGGTGTGAGCTACCTGGATAAAACTACAGATAGTTTGACATTCTCCCAACAGGCTAGGTATTCCCAGTATGCCATGCCCTTGAACTTGTTCCCCACTCCTGGCTGACCCATTCCCTCTCATGCCTGCTGCTTTTCACTCCTCCAAGCCCAGGATGAATGCTGTCTCTTCTGTGAAAGCTTTGCTCTTCCCTCCTTACCCAATATGCAGATCACTATGTGATCCTCTAGGCTTCGGCTCTACTTCACTTGTGGTGCTAAGTAGCCCTTTATTCCATTTTGCTTTGTGTTGGAGGCAGATGTTAACCAGGTTAGCCAAGCCCTCACTGATGTCTGCTTCACTGTTAAGCCCTTGACCTTAATTAAAGGCCTCCGCCAGCAATGGCAGACAAAAATTGGCATTTGTGGTAAAGCTGTTGCCAAAAACATTAATTATCATGTCTATCAATGTCCTTATGTGGGCTTCTAGGTGAGAAGTGAACTTGAGGTTTAAGAACCAAAATAACCGTGGACTTCTTCCTCTCTGATAATGAGAGCTATGGTGGAACTCTGCTTGTTCCTTTATTTTGACTTGGCTGCCAGGAAGCTAAGAGACAGATTGGATGTGCAATCATAGCAACCATATCACATGTGAGCTTCCTTTTTTTTTTTTCAGTTTAATGGACTTGGTTTTCCATTTCTCTATTATTAACTTTTATAAAGAAAGAAAAAAAAATGTGTTTTTCACTGTGAGTCACTTCAAAGTATTTTTACAGTGCCAGAGTATTAAAGTGGTGGAGCTATTAAAATCTGTGAGCCAGGCACTGGTGGCTCACACCTGTAACCCTAGCTACTCAAGAGGCTAAGATCTGAAGATCATGGCTCAAGCCCAGCCTTGGCGGGAAATTCTGTGAGATTCTTATCTGCAATTAACCAGCAAAAAAAAAACATTGGAAGTGGAGGTGTGGCTCAAGTGGAAGAGCACTAGCCTTGAGCAAAAAGGTTAAGTAACAACACCCAGGACTTCAGGTTTGAGCCCCAGGACAGGCACCAAAAAAAAAAATAAATTTGCAATGGCTTCCTTAGTAGAATAGTTTTTGTGCTTGAAAATAAGGTGAAAACAGTTTGCTTATATGTGCCATTCCGGTGTTACAGTGGTGGAGTTGGCAGGTGTACCCAGGCCAGTGGGGCTGGACACAGGGTCGGTAGCCCAAAAAGAGTGCTGAATTTCTGCTGCACATGCTTAAGAATGCAGAGAGTAATGCAGAACTGAAGGGTTTAGAGGTAGACTCCCTGGTCATTGAACACATCACATCCAGGTGAACAAAGCACCTAAGATGCGCCATGGAACTTACAAAGCCCATGGTAGGATTAACCCATCCATAAGCTCCCCCTGCCACATTGAGATGATCCTTACTGAGGAGCAGATTGTTCCTAAACCAGAGGAGGAGGTTGCACAGAAGAAAAAGGTATCCCAGAAGAAACTGAAGAAACAAAAACTTATGGCACGGGAATAAATTTAGCATAAAAAATTTTGCTTTACATTGTAGATATTTCATGAATTGAATCTCTTACCGTATCTATGGTAAGAAGTTAAATTCTGGGGCAGTGCTGGGAGGATCAAATCCAAGGCTGCATATTTATTACTTAGTTTTGGTCATGGGGCTTGAACTCAGGGCCTGGGCACTGTCCAGGCTAGCACTCTACCACTTTGAGCCACTTCCAGTTTTCTGGTAGTTAATTGGAGATAAGAGTCTTGTGGACTTACCTGCCCAGGCTGGCCTCCTGAGTAGTGTGAGCTACCAGTGCCCAACTAAGCCTTTTTTTTTTCTGTTCATGGGGCTTAAACTCTGGGCCTGAGCACCACCCCTGAGCTCTTCAACTCAAGGCTAGTGCTCTACCACTTTGAGCTATAGTGCCGTTTCCAGATTTTTCTGGAATAGAAATTTTTCCAGATTTTTTCTGAGTAGTTTATTGGAGACTTAAGAGTCTGAAGGAGTTTCCTGCCAGGGTTAGCTTCAAACCTAGATCTTCAAACTCAGCTCCTGAGTAGCTAGGATTACAAGTGTGAGCCACCAGTGCCCAGCTTAAAATGAGCTTTTACCACTTTTGGATACTCATGGTAATGGTAGGAATAAATTCATAGGACAGGGTGAATGTGTGACCAGGGCAAGTGACCACCAGAAGCTGTACCACTGGAGCACATGCAAGGAGGGAGGCAGCTGGTTGCCAGTGGGAGAGACCACGCTTACTCCTCAAAACCACAAATATAAATCTAAGCCCAAAAGCAGAAGGATGGAACACCCCCACCTGTAGTCATAGAAACTGGAATTTGATTGAATGTGCTGTGGAGGATTAAGCATGATCCATATGAAAGATGGACGTCATCTTAGGCTTTTGGCTTTTCACACCTAAATAGCCCTGAAATTGTAGAAAAGTTTCTATCTAAACAGAATACGAGTAACACTGATGGACTCATGACTATTTCATATAGCACACAGAGAAATATTTATTACTGCAGTTCTTAGGCATCAAATAGATGTTGTGGTTGGATAGGTGTCTTCCAAAGCCCCCCTCTGTTAAAGGCTTGGGTCCCCAGCCCTGCTACCACTGGGAGGTGGTGGAACCTTTAAGAGGGTGAGCCTAGGCTGGGGAGGTTCAGTGGTAGAGTGCTTGCCTTGCATGCATGAAGCCCTGGGTGGGCTGGGAAGGTGGCTCAGTGGTAGAGCGCTTGCCTTGCATGCTCGAGGCCCTGGGTTCGATTCCTCAGCACCACATAAGCAAAAAGGAAAAAGCCGGAAGTGGCGCTGTGGCTCAAGTGGTAGAGCGCTAGCCTTGAGCTGAAGAGCTGAGGGACAGCACCCAGGCCCAGAGTTCAGGCCCCACGACCGGACCCAAAAAAGAAAAATGAAGCCCTGGGTTTGAATCCTCAGCACCACATAAGCAGAAAGAAGCCAAAAATGATGCTGTGGTGCTCAAGTGGTAGAGCACTAGCCTTGAGCTGAAGAGTTCAGGGACAGAGTTCAGGCCCCACGACCAAAAATAAAAAAAAGAGGGGAGCCTAATGGAGGGGGGGTGTATCTTTTGAGTACATACTAGAATCCCTGTGCTTCCTTTTCCTGTCTCTTTGAGGCTGGGACATACTCCTGCTGTGATGTACTGCCTGTCACATGCCCAAAGCAATTGGGCCTAGTGACCATGGGTTAACACCTTTAAAACTATGAACCCAAATGATCCTTCCTTGATTTAAAATTCCTTAAGAGTATCTAGGCTGGAGCCATCCAAACAAAATCAAGCACCAATCTAATTATCCAGAGAAATCTTTGATCCATTCAGGAATTGCCTCTGTGTTCCAGATGCTCCCCCCCCACACCCCACACCCCCCCCCCAAGCAGATAGCACAAATAGGCCCAAGTTCATGTGTGGTAAGCTCAGACTAGAGCCTAGTCTAGAGTCTAGGCTTTCCAATGCTACAGCCCAGCTACTGCCCTGACATCTGCTTTGTGGCTAGACAAGACCAAACACTGAACCTTTCTGGCCCTCTCCCCTGCAATGAGCCAAACAAAGCTACCAGCTTTGTTTTCAGATCAGCTGGTTTTGCTCCCTGTACCTAGATTTACGGTCAATTATCTCCTCATGGTTTTCTAGCTCTGGAGACATTCCTGACTTACCTGCAGATAGAACCCACTTGGAAAACAAGTGATGAGTCTCTGGGTGCTGGTTTTTCCTCATAAACCTCAACTGGTTTGTAGGTAATCTGAGCTGATCACATCACTGTGGCCTAGACAAGAGTGCTTTGCTTTGTCCCTGAGCTCCATGAGAAAAGGAATGATGGACTCTTCATCTAAGAGACCCCAGTGCCAAGGCCAGTATCTGGCTTATAGTAGATCAGCAAAATAAGACGCTGTCTGAAAAATCACATTGAACTTCAAACTGAAGCCAGAGAAAAGTGGGTTGGAATACTCCAAGTTATCCAGCTTCTATGAGCTTCATATACCTATTCAAAATAAAGAGGTGTGATCCAAGTCTGGACTAATGCAGAGACATTTCCAGACATTCCAACTTACTCACAAGTTGATTCCAGTCTTACACAGATCAGAGCTTAGAGATTCATCTTTTTCCTGTAGGAAAAAATACCAATCTACCTACCTCCAAAAAAAAAAATAACAATAATATAAAGGGCTAGGGTATGTTGTTCAGTAGCAGTATGCTGGCCTAGCATGTGTGAAGTCCTTGGATTCCATTCCCAGCATTGCAGGGATGGGGGGGGGGGGTGGGAAGTAAAATAACCAATACTGATGGCTCATGCCTATGATCCAAGCTACTCATAAAACTGAGATCTGAGGATCGAATTGCAAAGCCGGCCCAGGCAACGGACTCCAATGAACCACCAAAAAGGTGGAAGTGAACACATGGCTTAAGTAGTAGAGTGCCAGCCTTGAGTAGAAAAAGGCAATGGAGAGTGTGAAGTCCTGAGTTCAAGCCCTAGTACCAATGCAAAAGAAAAATAAAAAGTAAAAGAATACAAATAATCACTAGCTTCTAGAATAAGAGAATAATAGGTACAGAGGACAAGCAAAAGGATGTCTAGAAGGCTATATCCTCCTCCATCAGTGTTTATGCTACAAAAGAAAGAAGTTTAAATTGGTTCCTTTCTAACAGACAAGCAAGAAATAAAGGAAAAGGAACAACGGATGCAATCACCCTGCCTGTCCGCGGTGTTTCCTTTGCTATTATTGTCAGAGCTCAGAGCCTGTTTTCAAATTGGCCCTGCCTCATCCCAACTCTCCATCTCCCAGTGAAGTCAGAATGTTGGGCTTACTTTTTCTATTGACACAGAGGGCCTGTGAGTCACAAATTCAACAGGATGACTTTGCTGAGTGTGATGGACTGGAAAATGTTCTCTCATCTCAATTTTTTTTTCAAGTAAAGGGGCACACTTATTTTTGCAGCCCTGGAGTGTAGACTTTTTTATTTAGTTGACGTTGGTCTTTCGGAACAGTGGCTAAGGGAGGTCTCACTGTGTTCATACTTTGCCTGTTGGAGTGACATACATTTCCCTCTACCCTCTCCTTCTCCCTTCCTGCTATTATATCTAAAGCAAACAGTCTCAGCACAATAGTTAGATTGCACTTGAATTTGGTGTTTACTTGACATTTACACATTGGCCATGCTGGACAGCTCAGTCATTCCAGAACAGGGCTTCTGCCAGCAAAAACTGTGTCGTACTTTGTCTCTAGGCTGATCCTGATGCAGCTGGACAGTGTTGCTTATGCTGAGTCTTATGCCCAAGTTAGGGTTAGGAGAGAAGGGACCATTCTTCAATCTTCCCAAAAATCTCATATCTGTACAGGGAAGATTGATCATGCCAGTATCACTCTTCTGGCCCCAGTATCCAAATAGGAGAAGGTCTCCTTTCCTATTCTCCCATTTCTTTTCCCCACGATGTAGTTATCAATAGCCACTGTACAGCACTATTATGGGTATAATGCAGGCAAAGTCATTAGGGCTTATTGAGACCTAGAGAAGGTGCTGAGACCACAGGCATACACCTTGCTGAGGTGTGCACTTCTAGATTATAGAAGGGAAGGGGGCCCACAGAAGTACAGGCTATAAGCTTCCATGTCCGTGCTTAGAAGAGGCTTAGACTTGGATAGGAGTCAACACACCTGTTTTCTCATATGGCTCTGCCAACATGTGACATGGATACATTACCTTCCCCTCTCCTTCCCCTCCCCCCCAAGCCTCTGTTTCTCTGCGTGTGTATGTGGGGTCTCTAATTACATTCTAATATTGTACAATTGTCATATTTTCAAAATTTGGAGTAAGTCAAACTTACTGGCATAAAAGTCTGACTTGTCCAAAAACTGATATATGTATGGGTAGATATTTTTAAAAAGTAAAAGGAGGGAGAAAGGGAAGGAAAAAGAGGAGGGAAGAAGAAGAGGAGGAGGAGGAGGTCATAATATTCAGTGCCAGGCAGCACATAGAGTACAATACTGCCAGGTGCCACTGGCTCACACCTGTAATACTAGCTACTCAGGAAGCTGAGATCTGAGGATTCAGGTTCAAAGCCAGCCCAAACAGGAAAATCTATGAGACTCCTATCTCCAATAAACCACCAGAAAAGGCTGGATGTGGTGCTGTGGGCTCAAGCAAAGGAGTGCAAGCCTTGAGCAAATGAAGCTCAGGGACAGTGCCCAGGTCCTGAGTCCTAGCCCTAGGACTGGAAAAAAAAATAAAGAGTATAATACCTTGGACTGGGATGTAATCCAGTGATAGAATGCTTGTTTAGCATTGGGCACCCAGTGGCTCACACCTATAATCCTAGCTACACAGGAGGCTGAGATCTGAGGATTGTGATTCAAAGTCAGCCTGGCCAGGAAAGTCTATGAGACTCTTATCTCCAATTAACCACCAGAAAACCAGAAGTGGTACTGTGGCTCAAATGGTAGAGCACTTGTCTTGAGTTGAAGAGCTCAGGGACAGCCCCCCAGCCCAGAGTTCAATCCCCACAACTGACAGAAGAAAAAAAAAAAAAGGCCCTGGCTTAACTCTAGGCATTGCTGACAGAAGAAAAAAAAAAAGAGGAAACCAAAGATCAATATGATAGTATACATCTGTAATCCTCACACTTGGGAGGCTGAGACAAAAGGATCATGAGTTCCAGGCCAAAATTAAAATATTTCTCTGCGTGTATGTGTGTGTGTGTGTGTAAGTAAACATTCTGATTTTGTTATTGGGTTTTTTTTTATCAGTCTTGGGGCTTGAACTCAGGGTCTGAACTTTGTTTCTAAGATTTTGTGCTCAAGGCTAGCACTTTGTCACCTGAGCTACAGCTCTACTTCTGGCTTTTTGGTGTTTACTTGGAGGTAAGAGTCTCATGGACTTTCTTTCTTTTTTTTGGGGGGGGGTCCGGTCGTGGGGTCTGAACTCTGGATCTGGGCGCTGTACCTCAGCTCTTCAGCTCAAGGCTAGCACTCTACAAATTGAGCCACAGCGCCACTTCAGCTTTTTTCTTTTTCCTTATGTGGTGCTGAGGAATCAAACCCAGAGCCTCATGCATGCAAGGCAAGCACTCTACCACTGAGCCACCTTCCCAGCCCTCTCATGGACTTTCCTGCCCAGGCTGGTTTCAAACCTCAATCCTCAGATCTCAGCCTCCTGAGTAGCTAGGATTACGGTTGTAAGTCATTGATAGCCCAATTCCTATGCTACGGTTTTTTAAAGCTCTAAAGTAGGAATCATTTGTTAAACAAGTATGTACTAAGAATTTACTATGTCTGGTTGGGAATGTGGCTTAGTGGTAGAGTGTTTGCCTAGCATGCATCAAGCCCTGGGTTCAATTCCTCAGTACCACCTAAACAGAAAAAGCTGGAAGTGGCACTGTGGCTCCAGTGGTTGAGTGTTATCCTTGAGTATAAGACGCTTAGGGACAGTGCCCAGGCCCTGAGTTCGAGCCTCAGGACTGGAAATTTTTTTTTAACTCTGTCTATAGGACATTCTGGAATGAGTAAGTTGGGTGGAATCTCTGTACCTTGCAGATGAGACCCTAGCACTTCAATGGTGGCAGAGTACACAGACAAAGTTACATGAAGAGCTCAGCACAGCACCTGTTAACTCTCCTCTAAAGCTGGAAAGTCCCTTCACCCTCTGAACCCTGGAGGGAGAAGAGAGCAGATCCTTCCATTATTCTTTCTAGGAAAGACATTGTCAAGGAGGATACAATGCTTCCACAGTGGCCTTGGATTCAAAACTCCCTTCTGGCCTACTAAACTCAACACAATGGCACAATGGCATCATCTTTCTGGATTTTACAATACCAAAAAGAGCTTTTGTTACCAGATGCCAGTGGCTCACGTCTGTAATCCTAGGTAGTCAGGAGGCGGAGATCTGAGGATCACATAGTTCGAAGCCAGCTCAGGCAGGAAAGCCCATGAGACTTTTCTATAATTAACCACCAGAAGCTGGAAGTAGAACTGTGGCTCAAGTGGTAGAGCCATAGCCTTGAGCACAAAAGCTCAGGGACAGCTCCAGGCCATGAGATCAAGCCCCAGACCTGGCACAAAACAACACAAAACATGATATGAACTCAAGAAATGTGATTCCTGATTTGTATTTGGGCTTACTTAAAAGAGGGTCTGCCAAGTTTTAGGGGAAATCTAGTTCTTGACTATTGAATCTCTATTGACATCGGTTGATTTGGGGTGAAGAACTCCTATGACAGCTGGACACTAGTGGCTCACACTTGGAATCCTAGCTACACAGAAGGCTGAGATCTGAGGATCCTGATTCAAAGCCAACCCTGGCATACAAATCCTAGAAACCAATAAAAAGCTGAAAGCGGAAGCTGAGTGCTGGTGACTCACACTTTAATCCTAGCTACTCAAGAGGCTGAGATCTGAGGATCACAGCTCAAAGCCAGCCCCAGCAAGAAAGTCCATGGGACTCCTATATCCAATTAAACACCATAAAACTGTAAGTGGAGCTGTGGTAGAGCAAAAGAGCTCAGGGACAGCAACCAGGCACTGAGTTCAAGCCCTAGAACTGACAAAAGAAGAAAGAAAGAAAGAAAGAAAGAAAGAAAAGAAAGAGAGAGAAAGAAAGAAAGGAAGGAAGAGAGAGAAAGAGAAAGAAAGAGAGAGAGAGAGAAAGGAAGGACGGAAGGAAGGAAAGGAGGGAGGGAGGAAGGAAGGCAGGAAAGAAGGAGGAAAGGAAGCAAGCAAGCAAGCAAGGAAAGAAGCAAGGAGGAAAGGAGGAAGGAAGGAAGGAAGGAAGCAAGTAAGCAAGCAAGGAAAGAAGCAAGGAAGGAAAAGAAGGAGGGAGGGAGGCAGAGGAAGGCAGGAAGGAAGGAAGGAAGGAAGAAAAAAGCGAGGCTGGAAATTGGAGGTATGGCTCAACTGGTAGAGAGTTAGCCTGGAGGGAAAAAGTCAAGGAAGAGGGCAGAGCCCCAACTGGCACATACACACAAACAAAACTACTAGGACAAGTCATTTCAGTCTTCAAATCCAAAGCATTGCATCCTATTCCTACAGTGGATACTGCAGAAACCATTTCAAGTTATATTCAGTCTTTTTTTTGGGGGGGGGGTCCGGTCGTGGGGCCTGGGCGCTGTCCCTCAGCTCTTCACCTCAAGGCTAGCGCTCTACCACTTGAGCCACAGTGCCACTTCCAGCTTTTTTTCTTTTTGCTTATATGGTGCTGAGGAATCGAACCCAGGGCCTCTGGCATGCAAGGCAAGTGCTCTACCACTGAGCCCCCTTCCCAGCCCTATATTCAGTCTTATTGAGAGGAAAACTAATATCAATGCTACCTTTCATATCTAATGTCTCACTGCTCACAGCTGCCCGTGGGACCCACACATTCATAGACCAATGTTACTAAGAAGTACAAGGGTAGATGGGTAATGTGCTTATGGTCATGGGGCTAGAAACAGGCAACACAGAGCCAGGATTCCAAATCCTTGGGTGTCAACAGCCACCTGTCTCCACTACAGTCTTTTTCTTTTCTTTTTTAGCCAGTCCTGGGGCTTGAACTCAGGGCCTAGGCACTGTCCCTAAGCTGCTTTTGTTCAAGGTGAGTGCTCTACCACCTGAGCCACTGCTCCACTTCTGGCTTTTTCTGAGGGGCTTATTAAAGAATCTTAGGGACTTTGCTGCCCAGGCTGGCTTCCAACCACGATCCTCAGATCTCAGCCTCCTAAATAGATAGGATTACAGACAAGCGCCACCAACACCCAGCTTCTACCACAGTCTTTTTTTTTTTTTTTTTTGGCTGGTCTTGGGGCCTGAACTCTGGGCCTGGACGCTGTCCCTGAGCTCTTCAGCTCAAGGCAAGCACTCTACTACTTGAACCACACTACCACTTCCAGTTTTCTGGTGGTTTATTGGAGATATGAGTCTCACGGACTTTCCTGCCTGGGCTGGCTTTGAACCATGATCCTAAGATCTCAGCCTCCTGAGTAGCTAGGATTACAGGCATGAGCTACCAGCTCCTGGCTTCCACCACAGTCTTAAGCATGCTTTTATTCCTTCATCTCTTCATCTCCCATAAACCAGAAAGTTCTGGGAAATACAACTCCTAAATAGGATTATAGCAAGATGACTCAAAAAGTTAAACTCAGATAATGATACCTGGGAGCTACATTCAGATAAGCCAAAGATATTGCTATGTCCTTGAAGGAAGCCCCAGTGACTTTCTATTACAATGGAAAACTTAACAAAATGAAATATCAGAACACAGAAAAACAGAGCGTTTTCCCTCAAGAGCTTGGTTGGCTAAATTTAGTCAGTAGAAAAACTCATCTGCCTGTTGCCAGTGGCTCAAGCCTGTAATCCCAGCTATTCAGGAAGATGAGATTGAGCACTGAGGTCAAAGCAAGCCCATGCAAGAAGTCCATGAGACTTTCATCACCAAAATCAGTGGAGCTATGGCTCAAGTAGTTGAGTGCTAGCAAAAAAGTTCAGAAACAGATAGCACCCATGCCCAGAGTTTAAGTCCCAGGACCAGCACACACACACAAATACACACACTACAAATCATCAGTAACTGACTACATCAACAGACCTTAAATTCTGAACAGATTACCTAATTCTGAACAGATTAATCTCTTGAATATCTGTTATAAAGTCTGGAATTTTTCTCAGATTAATTTCCTCAGGTTTTCTCCCTCCTTCAGAAGGCTTCTGATTGGCCTTCGATATGAGAAGGGTGTGTCTAGATTTGAATTACCAGAACACAGTATGAGATACTTGGCTGCTACCAGGACTTTTATTTTTCCTTCACTTTTCTTTTTTTGGCAGTAATGGGGTTTGAATTTATGGCCTCATATTTTCTAGGCAAGTACTCTGATACTTGTGGTGGGTTTTTTCTTCTTCATTTTTTTTTCCTTCATGCTGATCCTAGGGCTTGAACTCAGGGCCTGGGCTTTTTCTCTTTTTGAACATTGCTACTGGCCACCTGCAGGGCACTCTCCTGATCAGGAAGAACATTCAAATCAATTAACAAACATTATGTGAAAAGGAAGCATGGGTGAATCGAATACATTGTTAATTTTTTAAAATCACTTCTCTGGCTCACTCAATGTACATAATGTCACATTGGTAAAAATAAGCTACCTTCTTGTCCAACCCACAAACTGAGAAGAAAATTAAACACAGAATGGCTTGCTTCTTGTTTGCATTTCTCAGGGTGTGAAGCATTTATTTCGAAGAGTTGCTTATTCTTAAATGTCAAAGTACAGGATAATAAGCAACTTTCCATAATGCAAAACCGTTTTACCTTTAGTCTAAAGGAACATATTGTCCTACCCTAAGAATTCAAGGCATAAAGGCTTTTACATGAAGAATTTTGAGACTACAATGTCAATTCTCTTTGGGGATTAATTCTCCTCCTCGCAGCAACAGTAAAATGTGGTAAACCAGAGCAAGAAGATGATTCCAGCAACGAGTTTCTCTGGCCAATTTGTTTTCTTTGTTAATTCATTTAGATTCTTCTAATATTTAAATTTAATACTTTCAATTTTTCTAGGATTGGATTTTCAGATGTTTCCTCAGACTAGCCTAGATCTCTCCATCTTTCCCCAGTCTCCTGAGTGCTGGGAATACAGCTGTCTATCACCATGCTGGGCAGCTAGCTCATTCTATTTATTTTCTTGCCGATCCTGGGGCTTGGATTTAGGGCCTGGGCACTGTTCCTGAGCCTCTCTCTCTCTCTGTGCTCAAGGCTAGCACTCTACCACTTGAGCCACAGTGCTACTTCTGGCCTTTTCTGCTTATGTGGTACTGAGGAATTGAACCCAGAGCTTCATTCCTGTTAGGCAAGTACTCTACCACTAATCCACATTCCTAGCTCTCTCATTTACTTTAAAATCTGATTTCCAGTGCCCATAGTATCCAGAGGGTACTTCTGGTGATCTTAACAATAAAATCAGGCAGATTGAAGATAGCTAATTTTAGCCTCAAAATTTCTTTTTTGTTGTTGTTGGTCATGGAGCTTGAACTCTGGGCCTAGGCACTGTCCCTGAGCTCTTCAGCTCTACCACTGCAGCCATAGCACCACTTCCTGTTTTCTGGTGGTTAATTGAGATATGAGTCTCATGGACTTTTCTGGCCAGGCTTGGCTTTCAATAGCAATTCTCAGATCTCAGCCTCCAGAGTAGCTAGGATTACATGCGTGAGCCACGGGTGTCCGGCTAGCCTAAACTTCTTTACACAAAAGAAACTTGTTGCCAAGTACTTTACCATTAAAAACAACTATCCTATACTTTGACATTTAAGAAAGTAACTTTATGCTGGGGGCCGGTGGCTCACGCCTGTAATCCAAGCTACTCAGGTGGCTGAGACCTGAGGATCACCATTCAAAGCCAGCCCTGGCAGTTAAGTCTGTCAGACTTTTATCTCCAATTAACCACTAGAAAACCAGAAGTGGCACTGTGGCTCAAGTGATAAGAGTGCTTGCCTTGAGCTGAACAGCTTAGGGATAGTGTACAGACCCAGAGTTCAAGCCTCATGACTGACAAAAAAAAAAAAAAAACATTATTTTTTTTTTCTTTTGCTAGTACTAGGGCTTGAACTCAAGGCCTGGGTGCTGTCTCTAGCTTTTCCATTCAAGGCTGACACTCTACCATTTGAGCCACAGATCCACTTCTGGCTTTTGGGGGTTAAGTGGAGGTAAAAGTCTCATGGAAACTGGGTGCAGGTTGGCTCACACCTGTAATCCTAGCTACTCAGGAGGCTGAGATCTGAGGATCACATTTCAAAGCCAAAGCCAGCCTGGGCAGGAAAGTCCCTGAGGCTCTTATCTCCAATAAACCACTAGAAAACTAGAGATGGCACTGTGGCACAAGCGGTAGAGTGCTCACCTTGAGCTGAAGAATTGAGGGATAGCGCCCAAGCCCAGAGTTCAAGCCCTACAACTGACAAAAAAAAAAAGTCTCATGGACTTTCCTGCCCAGTTGGCTTTGAACCTGGATCCTCTGATTTCAGCCTTCTAAATAACTAGGATTATAGGCATGAGCCACCAGGGCTCATCTCTTTCAGTTATTATAAAGATATACACTAGGGTTACAGGTTTGTAAGTCAGGGAATGAGTACATTTCTTTTTTTTTTTTTGGGGGGGGGGTCCAGTCGTAGGGCCTGAACGCTGTCCCTCAGCTCTTCACCTCAAGGCTGGCGCTCTACCGCTTGAGCCACAGCTCCACTTCCGGCTTTTTTCACTTTGCTTATGTGATGCTAAGGAATCGAACCCAGGGCCTCAGGCATGCAAGGCAAGTGCTCTACCACTGAGCCACCTTTCCAGCCCTAATGAGTACATTTCTTATCAAGCATTGTAGCCTCCTCCTTCGTTTCCCCTTCCCATCCTCCCCCCTCAACACGTTTTTCTTAATATCTTTTTAACATTCCAAAACAAGCTTCTAACACTAAAATGCTGAATTTAACAAACTGCTGTCCAGAGAAGTTGTTCAAGGATCATTGAGGTAATCCTATTTATTTTAGATTTTTTTAATAGCTTAAAGGATGTGTTGAGCCTAAGTTTTTGTGCAAATGATGTAATTCAAGTGATCCAACCTAAAAGTTCATGAACAAGATTTTAATTAAATTTCTGAGAATTGATTTTTAAAATGTCTGTAATTCATTTTCTGCTCTAAAAACTTCAATACCCCACGTTTGGGTTTTGAAAGGCAAATGAATTTGGCTGCGGAAGAGTTGACTCTCTCCATTTGGTTTTGGTTTGAATTTTGGTTATTTTTGTGTTTTCAAGTTTTTTAATTCAATGCTTGGCCAGGACTGTTCTTTCACTTCATCCAATAGTTTTATTTTTTTAAGGAACAGGGTTGAGAGGGATTTTATTCTTTTTCTTTTTGCCAGTCCTGGGGCTTGAACTCAGGGCTTGGGCCCTATCCCTGAGCTTCTTTTACTCAAAGCTAGCACTCTACCACTTGGGCCACAGCACCACTTCTGGCTTTTTCTGTTTATGTGTATTGAGAAATTGAACCCAGGGCTTCATGAGTGGTAGGCCAGCACTCTACCACTAAGCCACATTCTCAGCCCTCCCCTTTTTTTTTTTTGGTGGTGGTGGGGAGGTCTGGTCGTGGGCCTAAACTCTGGGCCTGGGCTCTGTCCTTCAGCTCTTCAGCTCAAGGCTAGTGCTCTACGACTTGAGCCACAGAGCCACTTCTGGCCTTTTCTGCTTATGTGGTGCTGAGGAATCGAACCCAGGGCTTCACACCTGTGAGGCAAGCACTGTGCCACCTTCCCAGCCCTCAGCCCTCTTTTTTAATAAAGCTTTCTAATGAAGGAAAAAAAGGGGTGAAAAATGAAGTTCCCTGCCTATGAACTTTTAAGGATGCATTTGGATAAGGGCAGGCTCCCCTCAGTTGCATCCCATCAGTTCTACTCATTTCACTCATTTTGCAACAGGCTTATAGGGAGTAGCAGCAACTCTTCCAAATGAGTGTCAAAGCAGGCACCCCACTGCTTCATTAGACTTCAGAAGACAGGACTACCTCAAAGGGGGCTCATTGAATGAGGGACAATTGAGAGGGCTTTGGTTCAGCATCAATGGCTCATGCCTATAATCCTAGCTACTCAGGAGGCTGAGATCTGATGATTGTGATTTAAAGACAGCCACAGGCTAGCAAGCCTATTTGATCCAATTTATCACCAAAAAGCTGCAAGTGGAAGTGAAGGTGTGTCAAATGGTATAAAGCCAACCTTGAGCAAAGCAAGAGCTTTGCTTAAAAGCTAAGCAAGAGTGCAAATCTCAAAAGGGCCTTTGGAGTTCGAGTATGATGAGGGTCTTTCATTTCAGACAGAAAAACAATCGAAAGGGCACACCATGTATTCAGGGATTTGCAGGAACATACAGTGAAAAGTTTAAGGATGGTGGGGTTTGTCTCTAGAAAAGATTCTGGAAAGAATTTGGAGGGCTGGATTAAGAAGCCTTCAGTGAAGCAGCCAGGTAAGCCGGCATGTTTCTCCTGGGATGGAGGAAAACGGTAAAGAGGAGTTGGGAGCTACAGCCATAATAGGAAGCTACAAAAAAGCCCTGGGAAATGGGAAGCAAATGGAGGTGCTTAGCAATGGAAATGGATAAATCAGTAGATGCCTATGTGCCCAAGTCAAAGAAAAGAAGGAAGGAATTGAGAGAAATCAATGTTTTGTTTAGGAAGCTGAGGAAGTGATGAAATTGTAAGAGTCTTGGGCCAACTGTGGTTCTGGTAAGAAACTGGATTAATGAGCTTATAGTGGAGAGCTGGAGAACAGCTTCCGACTAAGGGACTGCTCAAGAAGGAAAAGTACATTACTCATTCATTCAACAAATACAGAGCATGACCATGTACTGGGCGGGCACTAAATTGGAACTTGCCTAAAACAATAGCTCCTCTCCTTCCAGCCTTTATTTATGTGATATTAAAAGCTACTATGTATGGATTGGCCAGGCCTGTATTCAATACTTTAGATGATCTAATTAGATCTTTGTCACTCCAAAACATAGATATCCCCATTTTATAGACAAGGAACCAGGAAACTGAGGTCAGTTGCTTACCCAATTAGCAAGCAGCGGAGTCAGATTAGGAAATCTGGTATCAAAGCTTACCTTTTTTCTTTCCACTTTCTTTTCTCTGACAAGGTCTTACTATGTAGACCAAACTGGTGATCTTCCTACTCAGCCTGCTAAATATTAGGATACAGGTGTGTGTACTGCCATACCTGGCTTCTAAAGCCCACTTTCGTAAGCCTGTACCGTAAGACTGAGGTTAAAGTCAAGCATGGTAGCACCTACCTGTAATCCCAGAAAGCGAAGGAAAGATAAGGCCAGAACAGGTTAATACAGCGAGATCTTGTCTCAAAACAAAACCACCACAAAGACCACTAAGGTTAAAAGAAGGCTGTTTTATAGGGAGATGGAAATGGAAGCTAAGAATACCTTGGACCCCTTGTGAAAGTTGCAAAGCCCTCCCTCTATTATCAGTAAGGATTTCATTTCAAAGCCATTCTGGTACAGAAAATCATCCCTTGCTTTTGTATCTTGTCCTGCGTCCACTATGCAGAACACAGGCCAGGACCTGCCTCTCCACTCTCCCCCTCCCCCCCCCCAGTATCCAATATGTCCAGATGCACGCCCAATTGCAGGTACTAGGTTCTGGGCCTTTAAAATATCATTGTTATTAGAATGATGATGTACAGGGGGTTACGGTGTCATGCATCAGGCTGTGTGTACATTTTTTGGGTAATGTTCCCCCTTTCTTCACTCCTGAGTTCTGCTTGTAAAACATTCAGAACATCTCTTCACCCCTCTTCAGCTCTATGAACCCCCTCCCCAGCACTAATGGCTTCTATCACTCTACTCTGCCAATTAATGCAGTTTGTGCTGGAAAAAAAAAGTATTTTACAATGCAAAGACATTAATAATTAACTTCCATACCACAAAACTTGTAATATCAGTTTGCTGGAATAAAAGTCACCAGTATTTAATTCTTCTTTAAAGGGTGTCTTCTATTATTATTATTTTAGAGTGCAATTTAGTCATCAAAGGTTTACTCAGCCTCATGTTTATAAATTATATAGGGCAGGGATTTAACTCTTCTGGCCCTACCTGTTCTGAAAAGAGGGAGGGTCATAACCCTGTTGTCACGGCCGGCACCTGCCTTGGAAAGAGATGATTTGTGAACTAGAAGTCCTTACCTCTTTTAGAAATCTGGGGTGAGTACAGATTTCCTTTTATGATGCAATCAGAAGAACCAGATAGTTGCCTGCCACTTAAGAGGCATTGGTTTTTATCACTCAGAAGGCTGTTTGGAAAGTTCATCTTTTTTGAGTTTCAGAATTTTGTCTTGATTAGATGACATAATAGTGGCTTTCCCAATTCATCTGTGAACTATAGTTGTTGTTGTGTGTGTGTGTGTGTGTTTCAATTGTGGTCGTTTCGGGTTGGTTTTGGTGAGCGGGAAGGGCTACTGCCTTAGGTAAATAAAAGCCAAGTCGGATGACTCTGGTAAAATGGATTACCCGAGCCATAAGCTCCAAATCCAGATTTACATGTATAAATCCCAAGGGTGATGGCTGCCAATCAAAAGCTCCTCCCACTTCACTGGGGTTTAGGGACCCTGACCTTAATGGCGGGGGGGGGGGGGGGGGTTTTCCCCAGTAGCCCACCAGTGGGTCTTTGC